GTGTAAAATAGTCTAACAAGCTTGGGATAGAAAAGGACTTTGAGTGATACAAAATCACCCAACCCAATAGCAGCAAACAAAGAGTAAGTATGTTGGATTAAAGTTTCACTTTCACTATTGTCAAAAAACTTCCCTTTTTCAACTACCTTATGGAGGAATCAGGTTTTATATACCTCCTTGAACTCAGGTTCTCGGAAGAGACGCATGTTTGGAGTAGGATAGGAGTCGGAATGCTCAAGGTTTGGTGGATTAGATCCTCCGGCATCCATATCATGAGAGTGCTTAGTGCGTTTTTTTGGGTTTTTAGAGGGGTTCTTTCGAGATGCCATGAGAAAATCTCTTAGATGAGTTCTTGCATGAGAGATTTTGAGAGACTAAATGACAAGATAACAATGTTTGAGTGCAACAAATATACCTTAACATGATGCAACAGAGATCAAAAATCACAAGTATGAAAAAACTGAAGAGAAGTGATTGATTCGAGAAAGGAGAAGTGAAACTTACCTTGAATATGAGAAGGAGAAAAGTGAGAGAGTCGCAATCGCCTTTGGAGAGATACGGAGAGAGGGTTGATCAGTTTGTGAGAAGATATAACATTCGTAGGTTATTTAATCGAATTTGACCCTGTTCGTATCTGGGCCCCCGAAGAATCGGTAGACCGAATGTCTACATCAGTCGGCCGAAATGGCTTTTGAAGAGAATTCGAGTTTCTTATTTCGGTCGACCGAAATAGAGGAGGCTTTAGTTTAAGTCTGCCAAAATCTTTAGATCGGTCGACCGAAACATAGTTTCGGTCTGCTGAACTAGAGTTAGAAGCACATCTTTTAAATTTTCTTTGAAGGATACATTAGTGATCATAAATCTCTCTTTCTATAGCCATTCCGATTTCTCAACGAAGAGTGCAAAATCTATCTTCTTAAAGTGGCTTCGTGAGAATGTCAGCCAATTAATTCTCGGTGTTGATGAAAATTAACTTAATATGACCTTTAGAAACATGATCTCGTAAAAAATGATATCGAATCTCTATATGCTTTGTTTTAGAATGCTAAATGGGATTTTTTTATATACAAATGGCGCTGGTATTATCACATTTGATAGGGATTTTGTTGAACAATAGACCAAAGTTTTCAAGCTATTGCATGATATAGAGAATTTGAGCACAGCAGCTACCAGCAGCAATATATTAAGCTTCAGCGGTGGATAGTGCGACTGAATTTTGTTTCTTGCACGACCAAGATACAAGAGACTAACCTATAAGGTGACAAGCGCCGCTTGTACTTTTTCTATCAACTTTTCAACCGACAAAATCCGCATCCATAAATCCTATAAGTTCAAATGATGTGTGCCTAGGATACCACAATCCTAAGTTGATAGTGCCATTTAAGTATTTAAAAATACGTTTGACAGCATTTAAGTGAGATTCTTTGGGACATGATTGAAATCTAGCATATAGACACATACTAAACATAATGTCTGACCTACTAGCCATTAAATATAGAAGGCTTCCAATCATCCCTCTATATTTCTTAATATCAACATCCTTACCCTTCTCATCCTTATCAAGCTTTAAGGAAGGACTCATGGGAGTTTTAACATGTTTGGCGCCTTCCGAGCCAAATTTCTTTAGCAAATCTTTAGTGTACTTTGATTGGGAAATAAAAATTTCATCAAGAATTTGTTTGATTTGCAACCCTAAGAAGAAGTTGAGTTCGCCCATCATGCTCATTTCAAACTCGTTTTGCATGGAGATAGCAAACTCTTTACTTAGAGAGTCATTTGTTGATCCAAAAATAATGTCATCAACGTAAATTTGAATGATCAACAAGTTGCCATCAATGATTTTGGTAAAAAGTGTATTATCATTTTTCCTCTACTAAAATCATTTGAAAGTAGAAACCCACTAAGTCGTTCATACCAAGCTCTAGGAGCTTGTTTCAAACCTTATAAAGCTTTAGTCAATTTAAAAACATGGTTTGGATTATCATAGTTTTCAAAGCCCGGTGGTTGTTCTACATATACTTCTTCATCTATAAAACCATTTAGGAAGGCACTTTTTACATTCATTTGAAATAATTTGAAATTTTTGTGGGATACAAATACAAGTAACATTCTTATAGCCTCAAGTTTAGCAATGGGAGCAAAAGTCTCTTCATAATCTATACCTTCTTCTTGGTTATAGCCTTTTGCAACAAGTCTAGCCTTGTTCCTAACAATAGTTCCCGACTTATCCGTTTTGTTTCTAAAGACCCATTTTGTGCCAATGACTGTTTTATTTCGAGGTCTAGGGACAAGATGCCAAACCTTATTCCTTTTGAATTGAATGAGTTCTTCTTGCGTTGCCAAGAGCCAAGATTCATCATTTTCAGCCTCATGTATATTTTTAGGTTCGAATTGAGAAACAAATGTCACAAAATTGCATATATTTCTTAATTGTGACCGTGTACTAACACCTTTGGATGGATCACCAATAACTTGGTCAATGGGATGATTATGAACTAACTTCCATTCATTTGGAGTAGTTTTATTTTGAGAGGTATCATCACTTGAATTGGAACTTTGATAGATATCAATAGGAGACTCATTTATGTTGAGATCATTGATACTCTTCTCAAGCTCTATAGGGTACCTATTTGTATTAAGTTCATTGGTACCCGTTTCAAGTTCAATTTCTTCATTATTGCCCATTACACTTTTTTATGAGAGAGGTTAGGGATTCATCAAACACAACATGTATGGATTCAACCACAACTAAGGTCCACTTGTTATAAACTCTATATGCTTTACTTCTAGAGGAATATCCAAGAAAAATGCCTTCATTGGATTTAGCATCAAATTTTCCTACATTATCTTTGTCATTAAGTACAAAGCATTTGCATCCAAAGACTTTGAAATAACCTATATTAGGTTTTTTTTTGTTCCATAACTCATAAGGTGTTTTGTTAAGAATTTTTCTAATAATAACTCTATATATAACAGAGCATGAAGTGTTTACGGCTTCAGCGCATAAAGATCTAGGTGAATTGTGCTCATTTAGCATGGTTCTAGCCATTTCCTGAAGAGATCTATTTTTCCTTTCAACTACACCATTTTGTTGGGGAGTCCTAGGTGCTGAAAGATTGTGATTGTAGCCATTTTCATCCAAAAAAATTTCAATGTCTTGATTGTCAAACTCTCTACCCCTATCACTTCTAATGGTTTTAATTTTACATTCCTTTTCATTTTTCGACTCTTTTGTAAAATTTTGAAAGAATTGAATGAGCCTCATTTTTGCGTGCATGGAAGAATACCCAAGTGAATCTAGAGTAGTCATCTACGATTACAAAGGCATAGAGTTTACCACCAAGACTAGCAATTTTCTCCGGTCCAAAAAGATCCATGTGAATCAATTCAAGTGGTTTTGAAGTGGTTATATCCTTTTTCCTTTTGAAGGAGGACTTAATTTGCTTACCAATTTGGCAAGCACTACACGATTTGTTTTTTGAAAAATTTGTCTTGAGGAGACCTTTGACAAGTTCATTTTTAGACAATCTTAAAATTAAATCCATGCTAGTATGACCTAACCTCCTATGCCACAACCAACTATGTTCATTAGATGACATGAAACATTTAACATCCTTTTTCTGAAGTTCACCTAAGAGCAAGGTGTATACATTACCATGTCTAGGAGCACAAAATATTTGAGATTCATTTCTTTTAACAATGCATTTATCTGATTTAAAAATCACATCAAATCCATTATCACAAAGTTGACTAACACTAAATAGATTATGCTTTTAACCTTCAACAAGTAAGACATGCTCAATTGATAAAGAAGAAGAAATACCTATGATCCTAATGCCAATTACCTTACCTTTAGAATTGTCTCCAAATGTTACGCTTCCTCCTTTGTATGCTTCTAGAGAGGAGAATTTTGTGCGGTCACCCGTCATGTGTCTTGAACATCCGCTATCTAGAAACCATTTGTCCTTGGAAGATGTGGAGACTTTGAAACCATCCTACAAAAGAGATTTCAAGTATTTTCACTTAGTACCCAAATCTTGTTGGGTCTATGGGAGTTAACTAAGAGCACATATGTTCCTTTAAGAACCCACTTCTTTATAAACTTAGGCTTTCTCTTTGAGCATTCTTATATAAGATGACCCATCCTTTTACAATAATTGTATCTAGAATTTTTGTTCTTGCTTTTAACAAAGTAGTTAACCAAAGGCTTTCTCTTTTTCAATAGACATGCTTTCTTGTCAAAAGGGTCATATCCTAATCCATTTTTATAAAAGACACTTCTTTGAGCATCTAACATAAGTTCTAGATTTTTTGGTACCTTGAGTAAACTTTGCTAAACCATCAATTTGGTCTTCAATGATTAACTTCAAGGATGCATTTTCAGAGATGAGTTCAGGTGATCCTGTTTCTTTAAGGAAAGTGCATTCCTTTTTCAAGCACTCATTTTCATTTAGAAGAGTTTGAAATTTGCTTTCAATATTAAGTTTTTCTCTTCTTTGAGAGGCACATTTTTTAACCATTTTTCCTAGTTTATCATGCAATTCTTTAAAACCATCAAGTAATCCATTATATGCATCAACTAAATCATCATAGGACATTTCACATTTAGAGGAAGAGTCATAATTAGAGTTTACCTCATCCCTATTTGCCATGAGACAGAGGATTGCCTTTTCATTATCGCTTTCGGAGCCATTTGAGTCATCATCTTCCCAAGTGGCTTGCATTGCTCTTCTCTTTTTCTTTTCCTCTTTGTAAACATGACAATCAGCTTTGATGTGTCCCGGCTTTCCACAATGAAAACAGGTAGAGGTGTCTCGTTTGCTCTATTCATTAGATGATTCACCCTTTTTGAACCTTCCCTTGTTGAATTTCTTCCTATGAAGAAATCTTTTGAAGGATTGAGTGATAAGAGCCAAGTCATCATCTTCACTTTCGTTACCAGCAACTTCCTTTTCTATTTGAGAGACTTTGAAAGCAATTTCTTTCTTACGATGATGATCTCATTCTGTATCTTTTAGAGTGATCTCCCATGTGAGAAGAAAGCCAAGAAGTTCATCTAACTCAAGTGTGTTGAGATTGTGAGCTTCCTTAATTGCCGTTGCTTTTATATCCCAATTTTCGGGTAAGCTTCTTAGAATTTTCCTTGCAAGATCAGAGTTAGTCATAGTTCTGCCAAGATGTTTCAACCCATTAATAATGTCAGTAAATCTCACAAACATTGCACTAATAGACTCATTTTCATTCTTACGAAACAATTCATATTGATGCATAAGAATATCAATTTTGGATTCCTTGACCTGTGCAGTTCCTTCATAAATAACCTGAAGTTTATCCCAGATTTCTTTAGATGTGGTGCAAGTAGAGACTTTATTATATTCACTCAGACTTATAGCACAATTTAGATTGACTTTGGCTTTAGCATTTAAAGAAATAAGTTTATAATCCTCGGTGTCCCATTCAGCTTTAGTTTTAGGGATTCTTCTTGTGTCAACAATTTTCATTGGAACAACAGGTCCATTAACTATAACTAGCCAAATTCGATAGTCTACGGATTAAAAAAAGTCCATCATTCTATTTTTCTAATAGCCGTAGTTTGTTCCATCGAACCAAGGAGCTCTAGTATTAGATTGGCCTTCTTGATGAAGATGACCATTTAAGTTTGCCATGATCGTTCTCTAATACACTTAAGCTTTTTCAATAGAGTTCTTGCTCTGATACCAATTGTTACCCAGATATAGACTCTAGAAGGGGGGTGAATAGAGTCTAAGCAAACTAAGGTCAATTTTGGGTTTTAATTAATTAACTAAAACAAAGCTTAACTTCCTTAATAAATATTGAAGAAAATAATCTAAATTTTGAACTTCAAAGGATAATATTTATCAAACAAAATATATAGCAATAAATGTAAGAGATAGAGATAGAGATTGCAAACATATACTCAGCGATTTTAGCGAGGTTTGGAAACTCCTACTCCTCGGCTCAAGACCCTTCTTGAGACTTCCCAATTCACTATGGCTTCTCCTTACGGGTGGAGAGCAAACCTTTTACAAGAAGCTTTTCCTTGCTTCTAAGAGCTAACAGAAACACCTTTTCTTAATCTTTCTTGGCCCACACCAGCCCTTACAATATTTGAACAAGATTGATGAAGTACAAAGTGATCTCTCTTAGATCTAAAGTACAAGATTCAGCTCACTCTAGAGTATGTATGAATAAATTGAAGCTCAATACTCTTTTAATTATGAGAAGTGTGTATATGATAATGAAAGGCTTTATGATTGCAAGAACATCTTTCTCAATGAATGCAATAACCTTTTATGAAGGCTACCAGTCATTATATAGACTTTCAGAACTATCTTATATGAATTCTAGCTGTTGGACACACACTTCAAGGAAAAATGGCCGTTTAAAATTTGAATTTTCGCAGGTTCGGTCATCCGAAATAGAACTCTCTTGAGGTTCGGTCGACAGATTTGGTTCGAGGTTGATTACTAGCCATGTTTTTGTAGACCGATGAAAACTTCCATCTGTTTTGGTCGACCAAAACTGCTTCCTCAAAAGCTCTAAAACATTCTGTGAGAATCGGCTTTGTTGACTCATTCACCTTTTCAGTTTCGGTCGTCTGAAACTCAAGTGTGTATTTTAAATTTGCTAGGTTCGGTAGACCGAACTAGAATGACCCTGAGTTTCAGTAGACCTATATTTCTTAGAAATTTTGACCCAAGCTCTTTGATAGAATCGGTCGACCGGTTTAAGGTATCCTTCTATTTCGGTCGACAGAAATGGAACATATAACTTAGGAACATGTTTTGATGAGTTGAGTTTAGTCTAATGATCCTCACTTTGATGAATGATTTTTTACACATGATTTTGAGAAATTGAGCTTCAAGATGTTCATATATACTTTAACAAGGTTTCCTAAAGAGCTCACCATCCTAACTAACCCCATTTTGATGAGATGTTGAAGACTTGTCTTTGACTCTTAATTCCTTAGTCCTTTTCTCATGCCTTAGTGTTGCTTCTTCAGTTTTGTTTTTCTATTGTAGTGTCTTGACTTGATGAAAGCTTTAATCTGTAATTTCACTCAAGTAGACATTAGTGTACATAGAACATCATTAATGAATTATGATCATCAAAAGCCTTAGATTCAAGGTCAACAAGGTGTAATGGATACGAATATTACCCATGGATGGTTGTACATATATATATGGGTATATATGTATAGGAGGATAATTTATTAGTATTATCATTATTGTTTAATATTAATATTAATGATAATATTTTAATAGTCATTAAATATATATATATAGCTTGTTTTATACACATATGTATAAATCGCGTTAGTTTTATAGCTTATATATATATACATATTATTTAGTTTATTTTATAATTTTGTTATTTATTTTCCATGTTATTTTATTTTATTTTTATTCTTAAGTTGGCAGACTTAGGGTAAACCTAGGATTAGGGTTGTATGTATATATATACAATAGTATAGGTCTGTGGAGGCTGAAATATTTTTATACGTGATATAGTATACTTAGAAAAGAAAAGAGAACAGAGAGAGAAACTGGGAAGATGAAAGTTAGGGTTCAGCCAAGAGGGCTGAACCAAGGAGGAGGAGGAAGAGGGGCTGGCTCGTGGGTTAAACCAAGAACGGCAGAGGAGTTCAACGGCAACTAAGGTCGCCGAAAAAATATAGGAAGAAGACGGTTAAGGTTTCAATTCGAAACCTAGAGGCAAGTTCTATATCTTACTCCTTCCCTTAGACTTGTGTTCTATGTATGCCTAGATAATCTCTAGGATTTAATCAGATTTTAAAACTGGTCTTGATTGTATGCTAATTCTTAATTGAAATAGTTTTATGTGATGTTGTTTAAAATTGTTAAATCTTGAATTCGTGTTACATAACTATGTGTTTTTAATTGATATTAGTGATGCATACTGTGCTACATACATAGTGGGGATGTGTTGGGACCTAGTTCTGACACCTAGGAACCCTAGCAACGGAAGACAGAAGGACTGGAATGCGCCGGACAAGGAAAAATGGAGTCTAGGAGGAGTGGAAGCAGCTCCATCTTCAATGGAGGTGGCTCCATTGAAGTGGAGCCGGTTTCACACTACAAGGAGGCAGCTCCTTTGTAATGGAGCCAGCTCCCTTGCTAGAAAACACCTACGGGTGTATTTTTTGGTAATTTTTGGAACTCCAGGGGCTGAAACGTGGTCCTGAACTTGTATGGGGTGTTTTAAATGATTTAAATGAACATGTAAAAATCCAAGTATGGTTAATCTATGCTATTATGCTAAGAGATTTGATATCATGGAATTTTAATATTAATTTGCATGCTGCCAAGGATTAAGGAAAGTTTAATTGCTTGTTTATATTCTAGTGAATTAAATGGATTATTATGAAATTTCTTTTGAGTATATCAGTATAATGTGCACAGTTTATATTTCTAATTATCATTATATCATTCTTTGGATTTTAATTAACAAACTATATTATTTTGTTCTGTCAATTATATGGATTTTTGTGGATTATATGCACCGGTATAGGACGGTGGCATACTAAGGATGAATTAGTTCCAAATGCTAAGTCTTACTTATTCTGGAATAAGGGAATGAATTTACTAAAATGTAAAATCCTACTTATATTATCTATTTTACAAATTATTGGATTTTAATTGATGAACTGGTTATTTTTGTTCTGTCAATTATATAGATTTTATGGATTGTATGCACCGGTATGGGACGGTGGCATACTAGGGACGGATTAGTTCAAAATACTAAATTCTACGTACTCTGGAATAAGGGAATGGATTAACTATAATGTTAAATCCTACTTATATGTCGTGTCAAGGCAACGTACAGTTGAGCGGCATTACTTTGGTTTTGGATGGATTTTTTTTGCATATATGATTATGGTACCACGATATGAGCTTAAACCTCAGAATCAGTGGTTAGGGAGCGTATATGCATTAGGATGTATAGCTGGCTATGATGGTAGAGGTGTACCCTGTTAGGTCTAGGTACTCGTGCCCACTTCAGGTACATTTTGCATGTTGCCTACTAGTCAGGTTGAGACCGCCTTGTAGTCCAGTGAGAGTCCGTTAGTTTGGATATAAGTATTTATGGACTATTTATCTATTGTTGAGTTATCTAGGATGTATCTACGTATTGGGTCTCTGCTTGGACTGTAATAGAGTAGAACTTGTTTGTGAGCCTGACCCACCATCATTTTTCAAGTATTCGTCAGGAGTGAGGATTGTTCGTGCTGAGCAGGGATTGTCTACTTCACTCTTACGGATTATTTACATAGAAGCTTTTTTTATGTTTCAGTGTTCTAATGTAGTCAGTTATTGCTATCGCTTGTTCAATTGGGATTTTCCCTACATAGTATGGATTCCCGAGTTTAATTAGTATTGAATGATTTGATATATCAGAATATTTTCTTATTTATAAAAATTTATTCTAAGAATTTTATTAATGGATTATCGTTTTAGTTTTCTTTTAGCAATTTTATTTATTCTTGTTTATTAGATTTTTATTCTGTGTTCATTTATTGCCGATTTGTTTTGATCAGAAATTATTCTTCTGCGAATCTAAATTTGTTGTAAAAGAAATAAAATCCATTTTCTCAGATCATTGTAGATGCAATCTTCAATAGACTTGAACACGATTAGGATTTGAACAACACCCTAATTCACTCGTGTGTATACAGTGTGTATGTTCTCAAAAATCTCACAAAAGGGCTCTTAATAAAAATTGAAATTTCAATGTAAAAACTAACACAACCCTAATTGATATAATATGTTTTAATAGACTTTTGAAACCCTAATTGTACTTGAAAAATAAGTCAATTTTGCGCATGAGGTTTTAGGAGAAAGTCTATACATAATAGAAAGTTAAAACAGAGTAGGTAACAAAGTTACCAAAAAAAGTACTCCTAGAACTTGAACCGGTTCAGCTGCCCTTAAATCGGTTCAAGTTGGCCAGTATTTTTTTTTTTTAAAAAATGAAACTTTAACACTTGAACGGTTCAATTTCCCTTGAACTGGTTCAAGTTGGCCAAACCAGAATTAAAGGTTTTTATACTTAGAAAAATTTCGGCAACGCTTATTTATGAAAACATGCAATGCATGCAAGTGTACTTACCTTCTAACTAAACTTCCTAAGGTGTTGTTCTTACCTTTTTCGAAGTCTTCAAGCTATTAATCACGAAGAACTCTTTAAGTCCACTTCCAATCTCGAACTTGAAATTTGAACTAAAATTACAACTCGATCGGACTTGTTTTGAGAACGAAATCAAATATAAATATAATATCTCACAATCTTTTCTCTTCAATTCCTATTATTGAAAATGTTGAAGTGTTGATTCCATTTAAAAGTTAATTATGAATTAATCTCATTTCAATACAAAACTTTCATACTCGAGCGTATGTAACATCGGATATTCTTAGACAAGTATTGTAGTTCTTTTACGCAAATTGGATTAGGAAATTGC